TTAGAGACCTGAACTCTGGACCGAAGTCATCCCAGGGATGCACTGATGCTTGTGATCCCACAGGAGGCGTTTCATCAAGTCACACAGAGTGCAAACAGGAGTTTATTAGAAAGAGTGAGAGTATAGATACCCAGTACAGGCACCAAATGGACCAGCTCTCAGGAAAAAAGGCATAGCTCCTGTAGAGTCTGGGGTTTTTAATAATAATAAAACAAAACCTTCCCAAGAATGAGAATGTGGGAATTTCTAACTATGGCTGATATAGTTATTGAAAAAAGACTCAAACTAAAGAAAGTAATTTCGTGATCTAAATGAGATCCTAAAAGCTTCCAGGGAAATGTGAAGTTTGGTTGAAATCTGACTTTATGCATTTTAAGTTTGTTTTAAAGGTTTCTTGGTACACAGGGAACCATACCCTAAGCTGATGTGTGAACAAGCAAGTAAGTACTGCATGAGTAGTTGAGTCTTGAACCAAGCACTGAAGTTCAATGAATCACAAGCAGCCAGTTCCAACTGTGTTCACGTAAAGCACATGCAAGCTGCAACCAATGGGCTTTCTCTGTAAATCACTTCCATTTTCTGTACATCACTTCTTTTTCTCTAATATAACCTCCCGTATGGTGAGGTGGAGGACATTCTGAACCATTTTTTGATCCAGACTGCTGATAGATTCTAGAATCATTAAGAAAAATCTGCAAAACTGGATTTGTTGTAGCTTTGTCTTTTTAATAGAAGTGTGGGGGGGAGGGGGACTCATTATATGCAAGCATCAGGATAAAATATGATAATATCATGACCTTGGGAATTTTTTGGGGGGGGCACTGGGGATTTGAGCCACACCTCAAGCCCTTTTTATTTTGAGACAGGGTCTTGCATAGTTGCTCAGGCCTCACTAAGTTGTTGAGGCTGGTCTTGAACTTGTTATCCTCCTGCCTCAGCCTCCCAAGTCACTGGGAGTACAGGCCTGTGCCACTGTGCCTGGCTCCTTGTCATGCCCTTTTAAATGATCAAATTTAAAGGATAAAACACTTTCAGGCATGCAAATATTTAACAATATTTACTTTCCATCCATCTTTTCTCAAAAGAATGTGTGCTATTAAAACAATGGAGTGACCAGAAAAGGGAAACCTGAGTTTTTAGGGAATCTGACTAAGGAAAGTTACAAAGGAAATTGTAGCATCGGTCCCTACAACAAGCTCATCCAGGAGCACAGATGGAAGGCAGAGGCTCCAGGAGGGAGGCCGTGGAGGGGCTGGGGGTGCAATGAACACATTATCTGATGTAATCAATGGCGGGAAAAGGGACATAACTTGTTGGTGTTTGGTAACTAGTAATAGGTATGTGGAAAGTAACCCAATAAAAATGAAGTAATTATTCATTCAAAAAGAATTGTTGCAGCTGGCTGTAGTGGTACACACCTATAGTCCCAGTGGCTCAGAAAGCTGAGGCAGGAGGATAGAGAGTTCAAAACCAGCCTCAGCAATTTAGCAAGGCCCTAAGCAACTCAGCAAGACCCTGTCTCTAAATAAAATACAAATGAGGGCTGGGGATATGGCTCAGTGGCTAAGTACCCCTGGGTTCAATCCCCAGTGTTCCCTGCTCCCCAAAATATTGTTGTATGGAAAAGGAAAATAATCATAGAAATATTTGGCTCAACAGTGAGTGATATTTACCTGATCCTAATAATACAATAACTGAATATTGATTTAACTATAAGGGAAGGATAGGAGAAGAAGGGTATAAAACAGCTTAATTCTCTTCTACCCACATAGGAAGTGAATAGTTTATACTTAAATCATATGTCATAAAATTGTGACATTATTTAGATGTATGGGATTAAATATCAGCAGAAATGGCTAAAATAATTAAGATCATTCTCTCTAGGGAGTGAGTGGTGAGGTAATGGAATAGGGCAGATTTGCTTTTCTTTCAAGTTTTATAGTAGTATATTATTTTCAGCCTTAAAAGGAAGGAAATTTTGGCACATGGCACAACATGGATAGACCTTGAGGACATTATGTTAAGTGAAATAAGCCAAACACATAAAAAGGCAAACACCGTATGAGTCTATTTACTGAGGGACTCAGAATAAGCACATCCACAGAAGCAGAAAGTGGAAGGGTGGTTGCCAGGGGATGGGGGGTGGGGAATGTGGAATTCACGTTTAGGGGCAGAGTGTCAGTTGGGAAAGATGGAAAGGTTCTGGAGGTGGATGGTGGCGATAGTTGTACAACTGCATGAATACAATTAATTCCACTGAATTGTACACTTACAATTGCTAAGATGGTAAACCTTATGTTACATACATTTTACCACAATAAAGACTACCATAAGCCGAGAGGGGGAACAGCTGGTACAAGGGGCAGCCCAAGACGTGCTTCAAGTGTGGTTCCTGCACCCATATGAGCGGCAGCTGCACACAGGACAGGTGTTTCAGGTGTGGGGAAGAGGAACACCCGAGCCCTTACTGCCGGAAGGGCATCGTGTGCAACCTCTGTGGCAAGCGGGGACACGCCTTTGCCCAGTGACCCAAAGCAGTTCACAATGCCGTGGCGGCTCAGTTAACCCGCATGGTGGGCCACTGAATACCCACCCGCCTGCCAGGGTGAACACACAGCCAGCTTACCCCTCTTGCCAAAACTTTTTTTTTAAACCATTTTTTATCTTTTTTTAAAACCTACCAGAGACATCTCTATGCCTTCTTAAACCGAGTTTACTCCATTTCAGGCTGTTCCGAATTGGTGGCTCTTACCAGAAATGTAGTGTGCAGATATGTCGCCCCCCACCCTTTTTAAAATTTATTTTCATTTTTGTATTTGAAGGTTTTTTTAATTCCTTTTTTTTCCATTTGTTTTGGGGGTTTTGTTTTGTTTTTTCTTGTACTTTTGACTGGCCCCTCCCTATACCTTTTTTTCTTCCCGGATTTTTACCCTTTGGGCTGCCTTTGCCCATCTTTATGCCCCAGCTTCAGGTGTGGGGCCCAACACCAGTAGGCGCTCCATCGGTGTTTGTTGAATTGAAAACATTGTTGACCGTGGCTTCTGTCAGAGTGTCTACCTTCTGCAGCTCTCCCTCGTCCCCTTTTTAATTTGCTGCTTCTAATCTCTGAGGTCTGAGAATTTGTGGAACCAGTGTTGTTAGAAGTGTATATAATCTGAACCAATAAGCTCTGAATGGTGGCTGAGGGCCTTTCTTATGGCATAAAAATGCATGGACTTTGTGGCAGCTCTTCCGGTGGCTCAGAAACCATTTTTCATAAAATCATGGAATCTAGAATTTTTCCTGCTTGGAAAGGACCTCAGAGTTGGTTTAGACCAATTCCTTGGTTTTTCAGCAGATGAAGCTGAATGAGATTGGAAATCTCATTCAGCTTCATCTGGAGATTAAATGACTGGGTCAAAGTTGCATAGCTGTCTGCGTGCCAGAGCCAGCCCATAGTAGAGTCCCCAGACTCCAAGCCCGGTGCTCATCCCACTACCTCTCACACTTCACAACAATTTCCTCAACACTTGAGGGCCCAGAAAGTCTGCTCTCTCCACAGTGACAAACCCAGAGCAAAGCTGAGCAATCTGGGGGAGGGAACAGAAAGAGAAGGTTTGGCAGGGTTTTTGGAATATTTGGGAGATAGGGAAGGGACCAAGGCACAAACTCCATGGTGCATTCATTGCTCCCTGGAGGGTCATATCTGAATTAATGTGCAAGGTCCTTTGGAAGCCTCCTCCTTCCTCATTCATTGACACCAGTGAGAAACGGGGGTGCCCCTGAGTAAAGACACCTACCAAAGGTTTACATTTGCACCTTAGCCTCAGTAGCTAGAAACCCTACAGAAGGAGCTAGCTGGAGCTCATCAGAAACCTCATGACCCTCAGGAGAAAGGCCGTTCACCAGTTATGAGTGAGCTGTTAACTGTAAAACGTACTTGGGAGATAGGCCAAGCAAGAGGGCATGGGCCAACTAAGTATTATCAAGTTGAAGTAGAAAAGACAGTACATTGCTTTTTAGTTTTTGTCTTCTTTTGCTATATGTTTTGCTATTTCCTTGTGGCTTAGAATGTAAAATCAATTGTTAAAAAGTTTTGTTCTAAATAAATATTTATCTTTTGTATTGCTAAAAAAAGACTACCATAAAATTATTACTATTTAATTTTTAAAATAATTAGATGCATGTTTATTACAAAATTATTTTTAGGAAGTTCTCAATTGTGTGTGTGTGTGTGTGTGTACATACACACACACACAAACACACATAAGTGTTTGTATATATATTTCATGACAAATTTTGGGACTTTAATTTTTTCCAGTTCTCATCTGTGTTCTCTTTAGATATAGTTATTTTCAATTAAAGGAAGTATCAAATGAAGTATTTTGTGATGCATTTCAGGAGAATTTGTGATACCAGATTACTAAACACAGCACATTAACACTGGGAATAAAGGTGCAAATGCATCTGGTTTGAATAAGGACTTTATTATGCTGGAATTTCCGTTGTATGGCCTCTGATGTCCTCAGCATGCAGTCTAGCCACGCAGTCACCCCTAGAAGGTTTATTGGAGTTCTTCTCTGCACTTGTGCAGGGACTGGGTGGGACTCTGAGCAAATTAAAGATATAGTGGCAGGTAAGTGCAGGTTGTCACAGCTGATTTCTGGCTCATGGGTTTATTTTTATAATCACTTTCCTTAACCTGATCCAAATAGCAGGAGTATATTTGTCTCTTCCTAGTTGTAAGCAATAAAAGGCCAATTAGCTTGACAGGAAGTTCAACTGGTAAAGTGCTATCCTAATTCAAATCATTGTCCCTGAAGTTTACAATTCAGAAAGCAGCTTTGAGAAGAAAAAGACGGTGGAAAACAACTTTATATATCCTTAGAGACTTCAGTGTGCTCCCAGCCTTTATGTCATGCCGCTTGGTTTGACAGGTTGCTGTAACCTTCAAGGGTTTATTGCTATAAAAGCCGGGTTAGGTCTTGTCATTCCATCTAAATTTTCTTCTTTGTTCACAGTGCGAGATGAGGATGGAAGCACGCCGAAAAAATCTTCTCATTTTGATTTTGCATTACTTAACACAAGAAGGGTATGTCACATTACGAACATTACAGAGATGATCCTCTCTTTCTCTGACCTCTGCTTTTCCAGCCACAATTAAAAGAGCAGGTTCATATTTATAGAAAAATTGAGTAGAAGGTAGAGTCCCCACACACCCACTCCTTCCCCTAGCTTCCTTTATCATTATTGTTATTATTTTTTGTGGCTTTGGGGTTTGTGCATGCCAGGCAAGCTTATTATTATTATTGCTGTGCTGAGGATCAAACCCAGGGCCTATAAGAAGGGGCGCTACACTCCCAACCCTCCTATTAATATCTCGAATTGACAGGGTACATTTGTTAATGAACCAATTTTGATACATTGTTATTAACTAAAGTCCATAGTTCATATCAGGTTTACTCTCTGTTGTACACCCCAGTAAGTTTTTTTTTTTTTTTTTTTTTGTGAGAGAGTACCAGGGATTGAACTCAGGGGCACTGGACCACTGAGCCACATCCCAGCCCTATTTAGATACAAGGTTTCACTGAGTTGTTTAGTATCACTTTTGCTGAGTCTGACTTTGGACTCCCAATCCTCCTTCCTTAGCCTCCCAAGCTGCTATGATTACAGGCTTGCGCCAGTGTGCCTCACTTAGTTCTTCATTTCAACAGATACAGAGTGACATGCATCCATGATGACATTGTCATACAGAATTATTTTGCTGCCCTAAAAATCCTCTATGTTTCACCTATTCTTCCCTCTTGTCGTTCTTGTCTTCTTGTCGTTCGACATACTTACATTGTCTCATTTACCTACATATTTTTCACATTATGCATTGAAAACTTTATTGACAGATCTACTTAGTACACAAAATACTTCTCCTTTCCTCTTCAGGTTTAAAGATAGCATAGAAATGCAATGACTCTCTTCTTAATTATTTTTTTCCTTAAAATATTGGAGATTTGTTTTTGATTCAGGGTCACCTCTGAAAAATCAAAATATGTGTGGGCCATGTTTTTTGAGATTTTTTTAAAAAGGTAGTCTTTTAAAATAAAAAAAATGAAATTTCTGTAAGTGTATTTAAGCATTCTTTTATTATTTAAGTCACTGAAAAACTCAAGGTTTCGTTTTGGTTTTGTTTAAATTTAAGATGCATGCATGTTGGTCACTCTACACCTTGAACAAACTTTGTTGTTGACTTACTTTTTTTCTCTTAATTGACAATGTTGTAAGCTGTTTAATTGTGTAAGCTGTTTAACTGCAAAATGTGACTTAACATCAAAATTTTGATAATGACTTTTCTCCCCTAGTAAAGGTGATGAAATTACTACAATGTCTTTAACACAAAAACATCCACCACCCTCACTTACTTTGAAACACAGTTTTATCAGACGTCACTTTTTGATGTTTAGAATCTAAATTTTATTGAGAAAATGGTTCATTCTGTTTTAGTCAGCCTTTTCACTGCTATGACTAAAAAACCCAACCAGAACAACTGTAGAGGAGGAAAAGTTTATTTAAGGGCTCACAGCTTCAGAGGTCTCAGTCCATAGACAGCCATTTTCATTCCCCAGGAACCCCAATGAGGCTAAACATCATGGTGGTAGAACAAGGCAAAGGGAACCAGCTCACATGATGATCAGAAAGCAGAGAGAGAGAGAGGTCCCCACTTGCCAGATACCAGTATATACCCCAAAGCCACTTGCCAATTCCCACCTCCTCCAGCCACACCCTACCACTGCAGTTACCACTCAGTTAATCCCTATCAGGGGATTAATTCACTGATTGGGTTAAGACTCTCATAACCCAGTCATTTCTCCTCTGAACCTTCTTGCATTGTCTTACATGTGAACTTTCACATCCAAATCATAACAATTCTTTCCCCATCACCAACAGTCTTAAACCAGAGAAATGAGTGGGCCGGCCATCAACTGATGCTCAACAGCTGAATTTCTGTATCCACTCATAGCATTAGGGAGAAAGCAATAAACTGAGAAGAACAGGCCTGGATTTCAGTCCTTTCTATGTCGCCATTTGCAATGTCAGGATATTCTTGAATTTGATGAGCCAAGCAGTATGAGATGGTCCATGGGTTGTTCTGAGTTATTCTCCAGTCCCTAAGGAAAGCAAATCTAGGGGCAGTATAGGAGAAAGTGCCAGGTGTCTACTCTAAGACATGAGTATGTGGCTCATTAAGGTAGGGAAAGCTTCCTACGTAAGTGCACAGACTTTGGAGCTAGACTTTGGGTTTTGTGTGTGGTGCTGGTGATTGAACTCAAGTCATCACCCATGTGAGGCAAGCACTCTACCACCAAGCTACATCCCCTGCCCTTTCAACTATTTTTATTTTGAGACAGGTTCTCACGAAGTTGTCGAGGCTAGCCTGGAACTTGTGATCCTCCTGCCTCTGCCTCCTGAGCAGCTGTGATTATAGGCATGTGGCACCATGGCCAGCAGAAGCCAGTCCATTTTTATGTTCAATGCCTGCTCTGTTCTTTGCTAATCTATCTTTGCTATTCTTTGTTAATCTAGTTACCTAGTCCAAGACCACATGTTTAATGAGAATTAAATATGTGCCATGCTTAGAATAGAATAGTACCTGACACAAAGTAATCTCCTATGAGCATTTGCTATTTTTACTATAGAGGAGATGGGTTTGGATTTTACCATTTTTATATACAACATGGTTTAAAACATATAGAATGAGGATTTGGTCCATTTTACATCATCTTTTGATGGACTATCAGTTCTATCTAAAGAACCCAGAAGTGTGTAGAACATTGGAAACAATAATTTTGAGAAAAAGTGTTACTTAAATTAATATTGTACTCAGGTGAACTTAGGTTAAACTAAGGTAAACAAGCCCCCTTATTTCAGGACTTCTCAAACCATCTGATTTGCTATGTGCAGAGGGAGTATCTGTGCTAACATACTAGGTATTTAGGGTTCTGCAAACCAAACTTGGCCAAGGAACACCTTTTTTTTTTTTTTTCCTGAGACTATTTTAGAGACTATTTTTCTATGGAACACTTTGAGAATGCTGTCTTTGCAGATTAATTGGCTCATATGAAACTTAGACTCATCATGCTAGGACTCAGAACTATGAGCATAATATTAATAGTTGTTCAATAAATGTCATCTGAGTAACCACTGAGGAACTTACTAGAATGTAGATGGGTAGAATAGAAAGCAAGACAAATATATTTACACAGACAATCCCTGATTTTTATTGCAATGTATTTTGCATTCAAGAAATTGTCTCATAAATAAGAACTGTAGAAACAAAAAGACTAGTAAGTCAGTACAACTAACTCTTTTTCAGTTTTTATTATGGCCAGAATTTACTGTATACCGCTTAAAACATATGCATTTCCCCAACTGGCCACTAGATGGCACTTTAAATTTCAAATCAATGAAAATTCTACCTGAGCTGATAATTTTCCTGAGACCTGCAGGGAAGTGGGTGAAAGAGTGGGTTATCAAGATGAAAAGTGAACAATAGGTATTTTAAAGGACATGTCAATGTAAAGAAAAAAATATGTATATTTCCTAAGTGAAGTTCTGGGAATTCAGCAAAGAGAACAGATTATTGTAGATTGGAATGACCAACGGGGAAAAGTCTTGCAGAGGTGATGTGATCAGGATTTGATAGATATGTAGAATATACATAAAAAAGTGTGACAGGCAGAGGTGCAGAGGAAGAAGGGGCATGGCACAAGTGGAACCCTTAAAGACCAGCATTTGAATCTGCAAGTGGGAATTAGTGAAGGCAGACTCTGGAGGTCATGGATGCTGGTCTTCAGTCCCACACATCCAGCCTCTGGGGCCTGAATGATGTGACAGCCTTTCTCCTGCATCTGGTTCAGTCTTACATGCTATGGTCCACTCGTAGCCTACTGCTCTTTCCGATATTCTGTCCTGTCACTCTGTTGACTAAGAACCCAAGTGGTGCCATGACAGAACTCATTCCAGCTCAAAGAATATATTAGAAACCCGCAGAAGCAAATTTGTTCCTCTGATCATTAGCCTAGGAAGCATGGGGCCTGCACTCATCTTTTCTAGAAAATTTTAAGTCAAAATTCCACAATCCTGGAAATAGTTCAGAATGCAATGTGATTTAGTAAGGACTACAAGCAACCTAAAGTGCATGTCCTTAGCTTCCTTCTTTGTTTATTTATTGCTTTATAGGTGCATACGTGAACTTAGTCATTTTAAAAGACAGAAAGATGTTGAATCATCTCTGAGCATCTTTTGACTTATCTGTATGTTCTAGTTGTTTCCTAAATGGACATGTATTACTTTATACTAAAAAAAATTATTTATTTTAAAAACATATTTTGTTTTCAATCCCTGTAAAATGGGAATTAAGACACAGCATAGTATATAGGCTGACTAACTCCCCAGTCAACTGACTGACTGTGGTTTGTGAATTCTTTAAAATTAGCTTGAGAGCCAGGCACAGGGGTGCACACCCATAATTCTAGCAACTTGGAAGGTTGAGACGGAAGGCCAGCTTCAACAATTTAATGAGACCCACAGCAACTCATTGAGATGCTGTCTCAAAATAAAAAATTAAAAGAGCCAGGGATGTGGCTCAGTGGTAAAACACCTCTGGGTTCAATTCCTAGTATAAAAAAAAAATAGCTTGAGAGAGATAAATACATTTAAAAGTCATTGGCAATAATCATGGCAACCTCTTTAAAGAATAAATTTTCTAATTGACCTGAATCTTGTGGAGAGAAGAGGACATAATAAAAAAGAAAGTTTGCCTTCCCAGGTTTGAATCAAAGAGAAAAAACTCTAACCTGTAGCAGAGATTCTTGTTTTTTTTTTTTAATATTTATGTTTTAGCTTTAGTTGGACACCATACTATTTACCATAAATATTTTATTTATTTATTTTTATGTGGTGCTGAGGATGGAACCCAGGGCCCTGCATGTGCAAGGTGAGCACTCTACCACTGAGCCACAACCCCAGCGCCTCCCTGCAGCAGGAATTCTTAACCTGAGGTCCTTGGATAAGACCTTGAAAATGTATAGTAATTTATGTGTATTTGCACATGTGAAAACTGTTTAAAGAGAAAATCATTAGTTTTAAAAAGAAATTAATAACTAAGAATTGAGACCTGGAGAGTCATTCTACTTTCAGAGGTTTTTGAGTCCTTGCTTCTCATGGTATCCACTTACATTGGACAGTCTTACCACAAAACAAGTCAAAAATGACAGTTCAGAACAGTGGTGATGAAGCTACTTACACGTGGAAGCACCTTTAGTATAATGTTTGACTAACTCAAATTATTGGAAATACCCGTCCAAGCAGATGACATCTTCTCACACTAAATTTCTTCAGTGATACTCATTGACTTATGCTTGGGATTTCCTTCAGGGCTCATGACACATTGCTTTGAATTGTCCTAATGGAGACAAATCTTCCTTTGGGGATTGAATTTGGATTTTAACAATTTCCAAATATTACCTAAAATGAATACTTGTAAATAAACAGGTAAGAAATTTAGGCAAACCCATTTTTGGCTGAAGATGAATAAAAATAATTTATAAGACATTTAGTTGACTCACTTATTTGACTTTAAAGCAAATTAAAATTTTTTGAGCAATGATGACATCGTTTGTGAAAGTATGAAGCTTCCAGAGGCAACTGTTTTGAAAGACATATTTGGGTGAACTTAACATGTCTAAGGTCCTTACTCTCTAGAAAAACCTCACATATTCTAGTTTTCATCTGCTGTTCTATTTAAGGCTAACTCTCTGTATTGAGTCTCTTTGGACTTGTAACGCCTATTTTCCTTTTTTTTTGTACCCAAAGTTAATTATTTTTTCTTCTATAAAACTACCAGATATATTGATGCAGCCAATGCTTTGGAGCAAGAAACCAAACTGGGGTTACGACGCTTTGAAGTTTGTGACAACATTGATCTTGAAACTATTTTGATGGAATATGAGAGTTATTATTTTGTAAAATTCCAGAAATACCCCAAAATTGTTAAAAAGGCATCAGATACAGGTACATGACTATTTTCTAGATATAAATTTTTTATTGCATCGTTGTCAGATAGATGGCACTCTGCACCCTGCACTGTAAGAGGAGACCAGAAAGATCATGCAGCCTCTTGATCCAGAGCAGACAACCTGTACACGACCATCTGGATATTGACGTCCCTTTAGTCATGTTGGCATTTGTTTGAGGAATGTATGTCTTAGGACAATGAAAGCAAAACCCAAGAGTACTGCAGGTGCTCTTTATAAGACCAGCATTAATTTCTGCAGAGACAGAGTGGGCTTTTGGAAGAGGATGAATGACAAAGACTTTTTCTTGTTAGGAAGACCTATTATCTATCTTGAAAATAACATGAAAATGAGTATTGGTGAAGCTAATAGCTCATGTATAGATAATGAAATGCTTTTGAAAGCCATCAATCCAGATAATGATCAATATAATGCAAAGACCTGATATAGGTTAGCATTCAAGGAGGTTGGCTGGAGGGGAGATCTAAAGCCAGGGCTCTAGGTTTTGTAGTAACATTGACTTAGAAGTCTGTAAGTGGGGGAAGTAATTATAAACCAAGGGAGATCATTGTCCTGTTTACAAGGCACTTGTTAAGCCACAGACTTTAACATTTCATGTAGGGACCAGGAAACAGAGAGGAACGTCATTTAAAAATAGCCCAAGCCTGAATCTCAGAGCTGAAAGGGGTCTGAGAGGTATTTTGTCTGAGCTTCCTTCCAATGCAGGGTTCAGAGCTTGGATTTCTTGGCCATTAGTTAGGTATGGACCTTGAGTTAGCCTTGCCTCCTAAGCACAGGGCTGCTAGGACTCTTAGACACATGATCTGATTTCTAGATGGCTGGCTGTCATCCTGGTCCCCACATTCTCCTGTGATCTTGCACACCGTGTTTTGATTTTAAGGTAAACTAGGAGAGTATAACTTATGTGTTTCTTACCAGACTCACATAATTTTTGTGGGGTTCCTCTGCACCCCAGCAAATAGATATAATTTTTTTTATCACATCATGATGTCAGGTTCATGAAAACTCAATGAAATGGCAGCTGTCAAGCCAACCTGAATTGGAGTTGCCTTTATGGCATGCGCTGTCTACCATATTTCCTGTCTGAGGACTTGAGGTCTTTGTGTGGAGATGCCTGGGAGCTTGACTTTTTTCCTCCTCCTTGGCAATTTCACTTCTCACTAGATCAGACTGAGTATCTTGTCCAAAAGACTGTAAAACAAACTTTTAGAACGATGTAAAAGGAGAAATGTACCCAAAACTACTTTGTCTCCTAAGATTAAATTCTTTCCTTTTCTCCCAATATTTGTTTTGCCACAGGAGAAAATAATTTACCACCAAGAAGTGGAGGGAAGACCAGAAGGTAGAGTGAATAATAATTTGTCGTGATCAACTCAACTCTGGGAGTATGTGGGATCTTTCTAGAAGAATCTCTAGTGCCTCTCCATGGCCAACTACCAGCAATACCAAACTATGGTCATGTGACCATAGTGGGCTCAGCCATGGGATACCCTCAAGTTACATCTGTCCAGAACATGGACCAATGTTTGTTAGTTTTTCTGGTTTTACTGCAAATAATTGCATAGACTGATGCTGTCTTTCTAGGCCATGTAGCATGTGGAGTGTGGGCCTCGTAGGGTAAAAGACCCAGGCCCAGTTCCTGGCTTTGCTATTTATAAGAATGGAGCAAATTTCTGTCCCATACTGAGTGCCTGGCACACAGAGAACCCAAGGAATTCTATTTTCCATTTTTATTTTTACTTTTTTTTTTTTTTTTGGTCCTGGGGATTACACCAAAGGCCACTTTGTAATTGAGAAACATCCCTGATCTTTTTCTATTTTTATTTTGAGATAGGTTCTCACTAATTTTCTAAGGCTGGCCTGGAGCTTGTGATCCTCCTGCCTCAGTCTACTGAGTTGCTGGGATTACAGCTGTGTGTCACCCAGCCCCATTTTTTTTAAACCTATCTAAATAGGATCTTTAATTTCTCTGTGTGCTCTAGATTACTAAAAAAATGTTTATTTACCTCAGGTTAAGTGTTTAGAATAATCTCCTCCAAGGTTTTTGTTCCCTTCCTTAGGATGATGAGTGACAGTTGTCAAAATCTTCCCAAGATCAATCAACAGAGGCCACGATCCAAAACCATGGCAGGGAAGATGGGGGACAACAAATCTCTCAACAAGGAGCAACCAAAACAGGTGAGGTGGCTTTGCTAGATGTTGGTAGTTTTACACTTAGCTGAGAAACAAGCCCAAGAAAAAAATATCATTTTTATAAAATTTTGAGGCCCTATCTTTTAAAAATTGCTATATGATTTAATTGAATTGTGGAATTCTCTGAAAGTTGTAGACTTTTACTATGCTGGATGAAAACCATAGACAAATCTGCAGATTCTCCAGTGTTTCTTAATTTGAGCAGGAGGGCTCCTTCCTGTCTCCCCCCACCCCCCATATTTCCCCTAGATTGAGTGCAGGAAAGAGGGGCTTGAGGGTAGGGCCTGGAAATTGCAGAGCTCCAGCTTCCCAGCTGAGGTAACTGCAGGCGACAGGACTTCAGTGTATCTAAGCATATCCTTGGGTTCTTAAGTAGAGACCAGGGATATCTCCAGTGTGACTGGATCTCAGAATCTCCTGTTGGGCTTATCCCAGACCTCCATACTGAAATTTCTAGAGGAGGAAAAGACAGTAAAAAGAAAGAACCTGATAGGTGGGAAATCAATGCCTTCTGACTCAGGAGATCCATATCTAGAACCTTCTTAACTAGGACAAAACTTTCCCAGCTTTAAAAGAAAGAAGAGCAATAGAAACCCAGAAAAGGAATGGGAAAGAATCAATGCCCAAGATTCTTGGCTAGAAGATTCCTTGAATAGAAAGGAATAATCATAAGATTCAGTTGGTGAAAAGGAATCCCTTACCCTCAAGGAGGGTCTATGCTGTGGCCTCCTGGGACTGACTCAGGAGGAGGAGAGGTGACCTGGGACAGGCCAGTCACACAGGAGGCTGGCTGATCTTGCTGTGTCTCCAGACTTGGCCAGACCTGCCACAGACGTTCTGGCACAGGACAAAGGACCAGTCAGCAAGTGGGGACGGGTTGAGGCACAGCTATTTCCTCCACTGGAAAAGCTGCTCGGAGCTCATGGCCTGTGGGATCTCAAGGCTTCCCTCAGGACACAGGTAGAGTTACTTCCTCTCACTGGGTCACAGATGTGGCTAAATAACACACAGGTCTGGCTCCCCACTGACAGGATACCTGGCCTGTGGTTTTGTCAGGGGCACTGGCAACTCTAAGCAGCTCCCACAGCTGGCTGCTCACCATGTCCCTCTGTCCTCAGGGCACCAATAACACTCACATGGAGACCCCTGACTTTGGCTTAAACATATCAAGAATCCACAAAGACAGTGGAGAGGAAAGTGCCCACCCACGAAGAGTAAGTGGAACTCAGGACACTGAAGGGGGGGGGTCTTTTAATGAACACAAGGCAGTATTTTTTGTCAAACAGGGAAGTTAAAACCTCATGATCAAATGTTGGCTGTGAGGTACACTGGTAAGAGTGCTGCATGGGAATGAGAAAATGGGTTCCTGCCTTTGTGGAGAAATGGTCTGCAGCCAGCTGCCCCATCTCCAAGGAGCTCCTTTGTTCCTTATTTGTAATACACTTAGGGTTTGGAAGGGGTGGAGTATCACCATAAACACTGGCTGGCGGTGCTGCCTGAGCTGTGGCCTCCTGCTCGTTCCTTTAGACTCTGACAAGGTAGTTGAATAGCAGTCACCCTGGTCCTTGGGGATGTGGCTCCAGGTTTACGTGGAATTCCACGTGGACCAGGAAACCTCACTTGATAGATACGTCTGCCCTTGTCATTATGAATGCCATGTCTGGATTTGTAAATGAGAGTTTCTCAAAGAGAGAAGACCCAGGCTGGGTGAATGCAGTCAAAAGGCAGCTCTGCCATGTCCTTTGGGAGTGGAAAGCACCACATTCCACTTGACTGCTCCCTCCAGGGCGGGGGTTCTTCAGGAGTCTCCTCAATCTTAAGTCAGATCTGAAACTGTGGACTGCTGACTTAGCTCTGGCCAGCTCTTCTGGCAAACTAGTGTGTGTGTGTGTGTGTGTGTGTGTGTGTGTGTGTGTGTGTGAGAGAGAGAGAGAGAGAGAGAGAGAGAGGGAGAGAAGGGGTGGCAGGGAGCCTCTCCCTGGAAATCAAGGGGTGCTTCCCCCTTGGCCTGAGCTGACTTCCTTTAAGGGCCCCAATGATCTGGGCAATTGCTGGAGATGATGCCACTCGAGTCAATGTCCCCCCGGAAAGCAAGGTTTCCTTCTTCACCCTCTCTGCTTTTGCCATGTTTTCAGTCCCTTTGTGCCTGGCAGTCTTTTGTGGCTTTGGTTTCTTTTGTGAATGCTTACACTGATATAAACGGACGTTTCTGATTGGCTCACAAGGAAGGGGCGATTTAACCCAGCACTTAACCTTGCAAACAGTCTGGCTATAATTCTTTCTCCATCAGAAATGTCCTGGGGTGAAATGTGAATGGTTTTCTCCCCAGTGTTTTAAGTGCACACAGGCTGAATGAGGGTGTATACCCAGGGGTGAGCCCCAGTGGGTCTGTCTTTGCCACGATAGGGACCCTGGCTTCAGGATCTCCCCAGCACACTGAATTTCACAAGTGTGCTATGCTTAAGGGCAGGGGCTTCAGAGTCAGCCTGCGGGGTACACTCTGCCACAACATTTCCCTGCTGTGTGACTTTGGGCAAGTTGCCTATAATTTCTCCAAACTTGAAGAAATAATTGTCATGCCCATCATAATGAAAGGACAGCCTTAGTACAGGGCCTGTCTGTCACATGATAAACAGTGAACGTTGACTACTGGAAATACTTGCATCTTTGCTTTGCCCTCCTGACTCTAGGAGAGACAGGGTGGATTTGGAAGGTATATGGTTTTGAATCCTGGCCTTGAGTCACTTAGCTCTACCACCCTGGGCGAATCACTTGAATCCTCTGCCTGCCTCCACACATGCAAAACCAGGATGTCACTCTTCACTAGCAGAGAGGTTGCAAGAATCAGAAACAATCCTCCCAGAGTGTCCTGTACACCCGTTTTGTACCAGGCACTACTGAGAGAGGCATGCAGACAGGACATGGCTCTTCTCTTGTACCAGTGAGTTCTTCCTCTGCTGGTCACATTTTAAAAGAATGAGACTAGACAGGGAAAGCAGATGGCATGTGCTAGGAATGGGGAAAGCATTGGTGAATTTTTATTCAAATCAACTTCATTCTTAAGAATTATTGACCGTTTCCTCACAGTGCCCCAATTTCAGGTCATCATTGTTTTCAGTATTAGTGCAGGTTTTTCTAAAGCCTGCCATTAAGTTTGCCCCAGGTACCAGGAGATATAGATGTGGTTTGTTTTGCTGAGACTGGGCCACAACGGATAATCTTGCATGTCTTCATGGCAGAAATAACCATAGCTCCCTTTCAGGGCCCAATCATTGACTTCCGAGGGCTTCTCACAGACGCCATCAGAGGAGCAACTGGTGAACTTGCCTTGAACACCTTCGACTGTAACCCAGACCCCTCGGTAAGTGGCCAAGATGTGCCATCCAGCTCTCGAACTGCCCAAATCCAGGGGGACCCTGGAAGCATCCTCAGCACTTTGGGTACACTGAAAGCTTGTGATCAAGTCAGAGGTCATAGCAGCCTGTCACCATTTGTTTCGCCAAGATCCTGTTTTTCTTCCTAAATTATGAAGCACTATTGTAATGTGAGCCTTTCTGTTCCTCTCATCAGGAACGATTGCTGAAACCTCTGAGTGCATTTATTGGCATGAACAGTGAGATGCGAGAATTGGCAGCCGTGGTGAGCCGGGTAAGCTCCGCTGTTCAATTCACAAATTTACCGAGGCAAACTGGGGCTCCTAGAGCATTGTGGGCTGCTTCTTTTATTAATAACAATAAATATGATCATTTATTTATAAAGTGCCCCCACTTGCGAAGGCACTCATATTGTTTAGAGGCACAATAATGCATGATAAATAAATTATAGAATCATAAAATTACAATATAAAAAGCCCACTATCTCAGTGTAGAGGCCAAGAAAACCCAAAGACAAAAAGACTTAGAAAGAAGGGACAGGTGAAAGGTTTTTATAGCAGGGCCCAGAGTCAAGGAAAGAAGCCTCTTAGAGAAGGAAAGAACATATTTGCATTTTGTTTCAAAAATCAAACACATAGGGAGATTGAGAGTCCGATGATCTCATAACTGGAAATTTCCATGAAAAACAGATTAGTAACGAAAGATTTTACCACCCAGACTAGAGACTTCTCAAGCTCATGCCTCAGAATCTAAATAAAGGCAGTGAAGCTTGATGGTTAATGACATAAGCTTTGGAGTAAGTTGACCAGCATTTGATTTCAAAATCCTTTTCGTTCTAGCTGGGTGACTTTGAATGAGTTTCCTGGGATTAGAATGGATTCCTAGTCCAGGTTCTTTTTCAGTTTCCACTGATCTTGTTTTTAATTGAAGACTGAAATCAAGGCTGGTTCAGGGAGAGGCTTGAAATGTATTAGGCATGTTCTAGGTCTGGAAACACAAAGGTGGATAGGTCAGACACAGTCCTTGCCTGTAAGAGTTTCTGGTCATGTGGGCAAGTGCACTTTGAGCATGAAGAACGGGTATTGTGGGGAAAGAAGACACTAGGAAAAAGCTCAATGAAAAAGAGAGGAAGATAGGGTAAAAGCACAACTAAGTGAAATGGTACCACTTATGCATGTTTCTGGGAATCCAAGTAAGAAGCAGAGAGTAGAAGGAAATGGGATTGCAGATGCAGGGTTCCTGAGGCGGGGCACCCAAGCAGTACTAGGGCTAGGAACTGGCCTCTAGAGACGAGGATCTTTTGACTGATGTTCTCAGCGGATGGGGTCATCAAATGTGCCTGCAGATAATTTGTACTAGTGGCAGTGAGGTGGATGGATGACAAAGCAATTGAGAGGGAAGGTCAGCTACAAGATTTTTACCAATGAGGGGAGATGGGGGTTTGGGCCATATTGTGGTGACTGGTATGCACAAGAGAGTAGAGCAAAATATTTTTTAGACTCACAAAAACTCAATAGACTCATTACCATTTTTGCAAAAGAATAACCTGACTGAAGATAGAGCTACAGATAGGAAGTGACCTGTGAGGATTCCGTGTGGAATCCTCTCCATGGAACCCATGGATATGGCCATTCAACCCCTGCTTGAATACTTCCAGGCATGGAGAGATGACCACCTGATGAGGCCTGTTGATACCAGTTATCTGACTGATAACTTCAGAATAATAGAGGAGAAACTGGGGCTGGGAAATTAAACACTATTTTGTGGAACTCAGTGTCAACTCTAGAAAAGGGCCAGAAATATTATTCTCAATGGATGCCTTGAATACCAAGGTAGACGAAGCCTCAGCAAATGCAAAGATGTCCTGCAGAAAGGGCAGAGATAAGAATGAGAGTGACCGGTGGGCTTCCTGCAGGTACAGACTTGAAAGACAGGGTGGGCCTCCCAAGGTTCTGGAAGACTGAGTCCTTTCTCTGTCATCCAATCCAGAAATGGATCACGCACATTACACATGAGCCAAACCACTTCTATACATAGTTTCCCTCTTAGACGTGGCACTGCTGTGTTGGGGGAAACTCGATGAAGGGGAGCAGGGTAGGGCTAATACATTTAACATGCCTAATACATTTTAAAAATATACTTAAAAAAAGGCTCATGTTAGATAAATAAAAGGGCAGTTTCCAGATTCATGCTACAGTCACTCTGCATGACTTTTGGAAAGGAGGCTTTTTTTTTTTTTTTTTAATGTAACACCCTAGACATTGTTTGCCTGAAATAGCTCCTACACAGAAAGGCCCCTGAGTGGCTGTTCTGAGGCGTCTTGTGAAATTGGAGTTTGAAAACTGTAAATTAGTTATCAGTAAAAGCTACCTTAATTGATTACCCTCGATGGTTGCTACAGGGCTCTCCTGTAAGAGGGGACGGCTTTGGCTCGGTTGTCGGCTTCCTTGAATTTTGCAGAAGCAATTGCTCCTGCTGAAAGTAGGGAGCTATCACTAGGGAAAAAAGAGAAATTGGTTTCAGAGGAGCATCATCTCTTTTATGCAACAAATTAACAAAGTGTTTGCCAGATCAAAGAGCAAGAGAGAAGTCAGGCAACTATAAGGAACTGTTTTGCAGTGAAAATTAGTGTAATTTTAAGGCAGATTCTGTAGCTTCTTTGATTATGGTCATAAATCAGCATGGTGTGTTATTGACTGAAGACAGAGTCCATTGTTAGGAGATTTTTTTTTCCTTTTTAAAAGAATCATATCATCAATATCTTTTTCAGGGAAAATCGTTGAATATTTTCATTATATCCCTTTGGTGAGCTAACCCCAAATTACAATGTATACATATACATATATCTAATATGAAAAATTTTGATCACCAGCCCTTTATATTCTATTGTAAGTCAAGTTCTCTGCTCCCATGTTTATTACAGCTATGGAGGAAAAAAATTAGTTTTAACAAAATGATCAAATGTGCATTGCAGGACATTTATCTCCATAATCCAAACATAAAGTGGGATGACATTATTGGACTGGATGCAGCCAAGCAGCTAGTGAAAGAAGCTGTTGTGTATCCTATAAGGGTAAGAATGGAAGGGGTGGGGGTGGGGGTATTTCTGCTCATTATCCATTGGACAAGCTGTGTGTCACACACCTTTCAGGAAGGACAGGCCAGGATGATTTTTCTGTCCACAAGTTAACTTGGTGCCTGTCACAGCACTTTGTCAACACTAAGGCATCAGGCCTAGCCCATTCTGGACACTTTAAACTCATGTCTCATATTGGTTCCAAGCAGATGTCTGCTTGATATGATCATTGAAGATCTAGGACTCTGTCTTGTATATTTGATTTGTCAGCCACTACACATTGGCTCCAATGAGCCTCCCTCTCTAAAAATAAACTTAGTATGGTAAAAATAGCTCCCTTACTGCAAACAAATAAAAAAGTAATTTGATTTCCTATAAAAAAAAAGAAAAGAAAAGAAAAAGAAAAAAAGAAATAGCTCTGGTAGGAGAGGACCTCTCACAGGGTTTCTATAGGTGCTCCCTTACCAGTATTGTTTGGGCCGATTGTGAAGGGCAGACAGTACCTTCCCAGACAGGAGCCAGCAGAGCCAGAAAGCTGTGCTCATTATATATTCCTGACAAATTTCTGCATGGCTCACAAAACAGGTAGAAGAATAGAAAAACAATTCTCTCCAAACAGGATAAGGAGGAGGTCAGGGAATCACATGGTGTTTGCTGCATCACAGACCCAAAGAGTGTATAAGGCACAACTTAGGGCCTCAGCCCCATAACCATTTATTGTCTTATAATTCTGAAGGTTGGCAGTTTGGGCTGGCAGCTGGGCCAGCTCTTCTCTTTTTCATATGGTGCTGCTGACCCAGCTCAACCATATGTTCAGGGCATCAGCCAGAGACACTGGAAAGGTTGGGATAAGTGGGTCAGTTGGGGCCTCTCTCCCTTAGCAAAGGAGTCCAGTCCTGTTCACAGAAGGCTCCCAGAAAGAGGTAAGAAAGGGCAAGGCCTATGTGCTTAGCATTTTTCATATCTCTTCTTACACTGCTTAAATTTGCTATTCTTATACTTATTTAGTTTCTTATTATATTTGCCAATGTCCCATTGGCCAAAGTCACAAGGCCAGGCCCAGGATCCAGTGGTGGAGAAACAGATTCTACCTCTTCATGGCAAGAGCTGCAAAGAGTCTGTGGCCATGTCCTATAATCTCCTGCAGCCAGAATCATTTTATTGAATAACCTACTTATTCTTACCTGGGAGCCCATGAAGCCTTTGTTTTTTGGATGCTTTTATTCTAAGAAGACAAAAATCAATAAATTGATTGTCTTTCCCCCTCATTCTTCCTGACTTCAGATATGGGAGTAAGAAATACCTTGGTGTTTGAAGTTAATAGAAATTTACTCATCTTTTCCTCCAAGTAGAAGCATGGTATAAAACGTTTAGAAAGGATAGAACATCTCATTGAAATTCTCTGGATGTGTGACAGCATTTTAAACTTGGCATGGGATGATATTCAGATTTGACATCAGGACTAGCAAGAAATTAAGAGCCAGCTGCAGTTTTACTATTCTTTTTCCTTCCCCTTGTTCTCTGCAGATCCCACCCACTGCCCAGATTATTTGAACTAAAGAAGAGGCTCACTGAGGTCCATGCATGCCCTTCTGCAGTCAGTTTCTCCTCAAGTATTTGTCACTGAATGATCCCTATTTATTTATTTATTTATTTGCTGCTGAGGATCAGACCCAGGACCTCACACATTCTAGGCAAGCACTCCACTAATGAGTGACACCCCCAAAGTTTTTTTGTTTTGTTTTTAATTATTTTGAGATGAGTCTCACCAAGTTGTTCAGATTGGACTTAAATTTGTGATCCTCCTGCTTCAGCCTCCTGGATAGTTGGGATTCCAGGAGACTGCCTCCACACCTGACTGCCTCCACACCTGACTGCCTCCACACCTGACTGCCTCCACACCTGACTGCCTCCACACCTGACTGCCTCCACACCTGACTGCTTCTCACTTCTAACTCAGGCTTCACCAGAGCTTTGTATTTCACTCACTTACACCTTTATTATGGGTTCTTTTGTGGGTTTTTGTTTGTTTTGGTTTTTGTTTTATGTACAAGGGCTTGAACCCAGGGGCACTTAACCACAGAGCCACATCTCAAGTTTTTTTTTTTTTTCTTTTTGAGACAGAATCTCCCTAAGTTGCTTAGGGCCTTGCTAAATTCCTGAGGCTGGCCTTGAATTTGTGATCCTCCTGCCTCAGCCTCCTGAGCTGCTGAGATTACAGGATTGCACCACTGTGTGTCCCCCACCCCTGTTCTATTGTTTATCTTCTAGATCTTACTTGTTTTACAACATTCAAAAGATTGCCAAGTACTGTATATGAATACACAACCATTGTAACTCCACATCTTGTTCAACCATAAGGATGGGATCCTAATTAGAATAAGTTATATTCCATGTATTTGTATAATATGTTAAAATACACTCTACTGTCATGTATATCTAAAAAGAACAAATTAATAAAAATTTAAAAAGATAGCCAAATATTCTACACATAGAACTATAGGAGAAATGACATTGTGCATGTAAGAAATAAGTATTGATTTAAAAATGTCTCCTGTATGAATTTGTAACAAAAAATCCCACTATTATGTATAATTATGATTCAAGAATAAATTTTTTTTAAAAAAACTATTATATTGGAGGGGAATATAGGCCTTTCTTTTTCTTTAAAAAAAGATTGCTCTTTTAGAATTCACAAACAGGTTCAATCATTCTTATCCAGCATGGAAATAAAATTGGGATAAATAATATATACAGAAAAGCAGATCTTAAACAAACAAAAGGAATCCCTGAATTGTAGAGTTGGGCTGTGTTTTGCTCTAGCAGTACCAATTCTCTGTGCTAAGGGGGTACCAGCTGGTGCCTTGATACCAAACCTCCTCATTGTTCCCTGTTTCTTTTCCCCACAGTATCCACAGCTATTTACAGGAATTCTTTCCCCCTGGAAAGGACTACTGCTTTACGGCCCTCCAGGTAACACAGCTTCCCATTTCTGGGTTGGTAGGAAGTGTGTGTGCAGAGGATGAGTTGCTACTGTGTCCTCCTGAGGACTGGGGCAGTTGAGAGCTGTTGACCACTGCCTCTTCCCTGTGTGAGCCTGACTTACGCCTGTCAGGGAAACTGGAGTTTAAGCATCGGCTCATGTTTATCCCCATGTGTCTCTAGGTACAGGAAAGACCTTACTGGCCAAAGCTGTGGCCACCGAATGTAAAACAACCTTCTTTAACATTTCTGCATCTACCATTGTCAGCAAATGGAGAGGGGATTCCGAAAAACTTGTTCGGGTAGGAATCCTTAATTTTGTATCTTTTTAATACACAAGTTCTTGTAGAATACAGTGCAAATAAAATGGTGTTAGGAGGGTGGGGATATAGCTCAGTTGATAGAGTGCTTTCCTCACATGCACTAAGGTCCTGGGTTCAATTCCCAGCACACCTCCCCCCGAAAAAAAATAATGTTCAAGCTTACTTGTTTTTAGATGATACCTGTGCTAGATTTTGTCCTGGGTCTTGATTACCAAAAGCTGGGGAAATGGGTTGACTATTTTATGTGGCTGTTAATCTTGCTTCATCAGCAGAACATGATCTCCTTTCTTTTGGAATTTTACCAACAGTCTTTTTTTTTTTTTTTTTTGATTGATGCAACTTAGGAATGGAACCTGGGGGTGGGGGAATGATCTCTGAAGTGGCCTATTGTGGAAATATTCATTATTAAGTATGTGCAGTAGTTTCAGTCAACATTTATTCAGAGGCTACCACTGTATGTTCATTCCTATGCCAAGTACTCTATAGAAAAATCAGGAGGCTTAAAACTTAATTATTCTTTCAGATGCTTTGAGCAAATCTCTTGCACTGTGCTCACAGCCTGAGGGTTTTAACCTTCCTTAAAGGGTTGTATCAATCTTTACAATGTTTCATTCTTAGTCTTGGACACATTTTACATTATAAAAATTTACTATATCTTCCAGTCAGTCACTTTAAGAGAATTTGTGTCTGTGATTTATGCCTCAATGTAAGGTGGATCCTTTCCAGAAATCCTGTTAAACTATTGCTTTTTGTAGAAGACTGATAAGTAATCAATACTAAGTGAATATAAAGTATTATGTATTTTCTGAAAAGAAATTACCCTAAAATATTACTCTGAAATTACGTTCCCTTGAATGACTCATTTCCAAAAGATTATGGTCTACTTGAAAGTCATAATGGAATATTTTAAAAGAATTGATTTACCTAACATAACCTATTATTTATTGTTTTGATTTTATTTTCAAGTTGTTTCACTTGTGTATGTGTTTGTAATTCTTTTTTTTTTAACTTATCTTTATTTTGTTCATTTACTTTTATGTGGTGCTGAGGATCGAACCCAGTCCTCACATGTGGGAGCCAAGTGCCTTACCACTGAGCCACACCAAAGCCACCATTGTATATTCTTATCACCCCTTCAGGGCTATAATTTGTGAAAACATTCATTGACATTTACCTTGATCTTTACCTTGAGTCTAACTTAGTGCCAAGTTCAAAAATGGGGCTAGTATTTGTCTGTTCCTACATTTGCTATTTCCACGGGATTATGGTCCACTGGATTTCAATTAGCTGAAATTCAACTAACTGCAATCCATGTAGTCTGAGGCCTTTGGGGAGATATTTCACTTTTGTATGCTGAGTAACAACAAAACCCTTAAAAGACGTACCCCAGAATCTACTTAGATTCATCTCCTGTCATAAAGAGTGGTATTTAGAGCCACAGACACAAGACATTGCCAAATTCTTAAAGAAAGATTCATTGTACTTCCCAGATAAGACTTACCTAGGCAGAAGACTATATTCTGATATTTTATGAATATTCTTATAAAATGAATACTTTTAACAGAGTTTGAAGCTAAATGGATTTTATTATTTAATGATGAACTGATTAAAAAAGTCAATTAACTAGAACTCTCTCTGTGGGCATTTTATTTAGCTAAAGTTTGCTTTTGCTTCAGGATTATTTTGTTAGAACTCTGAGAGTGAACTCTGATGCTTGCATAGCCTTCCAGAACACGCATATATACTTTTATTAACATTATTGTGTATTTCTCTTTCTTCTTAAATACAAGTAAGAATACACTATACATTGCCTTCTGGACCTTGCTTTCTCAACACTTTACAAAATAACTTAGATATGGTTCTAGACTATTATATTTAAAAACATTCTTTCATATGTCTACATGGTGTACTTCATTGCATGGATGTACCAAGTGTCTTTAACCTGTTTTTTACTGATGGACATTTAGGTTGCTTCCAGTCTTCTGTGATTATGAACAGACCTAAGAGGACAGTCTCCTATACACATGTCTGTGCATGTTAGTACAGAGGGCAATTGCTACAAAGTAGAGGGAATGAACATCACTGATTGCTAAATTACTCACCCACAAGATTGTAGTAACTTACAGGCCCATTGATAGTTTTTGCGTGTGAGTTGCTTCCCCACACTCTGACCAATACTGTGTAGTATCAAAAATTAAAAAATCTTTATCAATCTGAGTGAAAAATAATGTTTCAGTGTTTATGCATTTCGGTATTTTAGTACTTGTATGTTCCTCTTTGATTTGAAATGAGTTTGAGCATCTTTTATAGGTTTAGAATATATTTTTTAATGAAGTGCATTTTTACTTGAATATTCAAAAAAATAATCCAAGGACAAATAGGTAACTTCTGCCAACCTTGAAGGATCTAAACTCTTTTCCTTTTATAAATTACTTTGTTTTCTCCTGCTGGGTGTGGTGTTACACACCTGTAATCTCATTGATTTGAGAGGATGAGACAGAAGGATCTCATGTTCAAGTCCAGCCATAGCAATTTAGTGAGACCCTGTCTCAAAATACAAAAATAAAGGGCTGGGATGTAGCTAAGTGGTAAAGCACTCCTGTGTTCAATCCTCAGTACCCCCACTCCCAAAAAAGAAAAAAAAACATAACACAAAGGAAACCTTATCCTTATTTTTGGAAATCTTGGCGAGATCCTCACCTAGAAAACCTTGGTCATGCTGTCAAGCCCTTTCCTGTGAAGCATTCAGATAAAGAAAGCCCTTTAGGACCTTCCCCTAAGTCAGAGAAGCTTTTCCTGACATTTGTTTCTCTTTCTATTCCAATTAAGAGTTATTTATAGGGAACCTTTGGGCTGTGTTCCTCCCTCTTGTTCTAATGTTCATGCCTCTTAGGAGTTGAGCACTATCGAATAGTTGAGTGATCTCTTTAGCAAATGCATATACCTGTTGGTGCTTACATCTTTCACTGCCTCCCACCAATTGTATGACTTAACTTCCTCCAAGTACCTCTGAAAATTTTAGACTAATGCTTCCAGAAGCACTTACCCAGGATTCTATTTATTCTCTGGGAGTGGGAAGAACAGTGACATGAGCAGTACGGTGACCTAGGCTCTCGATGTGGCTCTCCTTGCAACTGGGTGGCAGTTGATCTAGTTGAGGCGATTGTTCTCTTGCTCCTGAGTGAGTTCTTTAAAAATCACATAGTTCTAATGTTCTGTTTTCCATTGGGAAGATCAATGCTGTAGTAATCACCCTCAATGTCAGATGTACTGGGGCTTTCCTTTGTGAGACAAGGAAGAAAAACTTACTTTCTTCCAGTTAGGTAGGCTCCAGTGTATTTAAAAAGCATTCGAGGCAAGTGTCCAATCATTGCCCTGATTCTCTCATGTCATTAGACTGAGATTCTCTGAAAGGAAAAAGGTGACACATGGCCTTGCATGTACCCGTTCCCCTAGCAATGACAAAGGTGAGGAATGCCCCACTCCAGGAAAGAAGGCCTGTGAGGGATAACCTGCTGCTGTTGGAAAGCCACAATCCAGCTTTTCCTGAGCCCCTCCTCTCTTATTTGTTCTGTGATGCTTTGCTAGTGCTAAGTGACATAGAGAATAAATCCCCCGTGGCTATTAAAGAATCTCTATTCTTTTCTAAATCTCTTCTGCTTTCTCCGATCAACCAGTGAAGAATTGTATATGGTGCTCAAGAGATCAGTTTCAGGGTTTAAAAAAAAAAAGGTTTAGATTTTTATACTGTTTTCATCACCGCCATGTCTCCCTTTAGAGCTCTTTATTTTGTTTTTATATGTCTGTTCTTTTGCTGGTTGCTTTCCTGTTCTTGTTCAGTTTATAATATTTCATCTTGGAATAGCACATCTTACTCAACCAAGAATTGCCTTTATGTACCTGATTGTACCAAGCAGCAGTGTGGAGGAATTTAGGAAACAGAAAGGGGCAAAATTTTTCAGCCCTGTCAACCATGACAGGAACCCTATCCTTTCCCTTTCCTTCTGAGAAAGACCTTCCTATTGTCCCCACAGATTAAGTGAAAAACCATGAAATGATTTTACAAATCCTAAGGCTCTGTGTCTATATGGAACATGCTATTGGCAGGGTGTCCTCCACATTAACCAACCAAGGGAAACTTGAGTTTTCTCTTCAATTCTCCCATTTATGATTAGTAAACTTGAACTAACCCCACACTCTCTTTGGCTCTAATTTTATCAGGTGATAAATGGAAATAATTGGACCATCCCACCCCCTGGGGTGGTAGTAGGGAGAAATAACGGTAATGATTATAAAGTTACTGTGAAATAACAGAGTGCAGAATGAATGCGTATTATTAAAGTCATTCTAAGCTTTTAGTCTCTGGGAGCGTCTGAGGACTTTGACTTATGTGCATGATGAGGACTTTAAGTATATGAATTTGAACTTGGCTTGCTTTTCCCCCACCCAGGTTTTATTTGAACTTGCCCGTTATCACGCCCCCTCCACGATCTTCCTGGACGAGCTGGAGTCGGTGATGAGTCAGAGAGGCATGGCTCCTGGGTAACAGACGGGGTTTTTTTTGGTCATCATTTCTCCCCTCTTGTAAGTGTGTTTGATGGTCGGAAGCCCATCGACATTTACCAGCAGAATGAGCCTATTAATAAGCCCACAAATTTTCTGCAGACACATGGAAAGGTCTTTAAATTAGATCCTGTTAACTGAATAGCTGATTTAAGTAGTTTTTATAACCGGAGGAAATATCATTCTCCCTTCCCCCCACCCCACAGAGTGGTTCAGAGGCCTGAAGATCGTCCAGTCCCAGGATCCCAGGCTGCCACAGTGGTCCCACTGGCTCAAAATAGCTGCCTGTGACCCCCTCCTCTGGAGCCGGAGGGCTGCCCGTGGGGAATGGGGCTTGCCCACTCAGCTCCTGCAATGGGCCAAGTCTGTATCTCACTCCCTGGAGGCGGTCCTTGTCAGTGTGAGAGGCCAGGAAGCCCCTGTTTCTCTGACATCAGGTTGCGGCTCAGCATGTCTGATTTTAAATATGTCACATATGTTATTTGTAAAGATTAAGTGTCAGCTAATGTCCCCAGCAGGAAGGAACACTTCTCAGACTGTAATAAGCCTCTGTTTATGCTTTCAAAAGGCTAAGTAGGGTTTTCTTTTTGTTTGTTTGCTTGATTTGAAGTCTTTCTGTCTTTGATCAGAGGTATTTTTCTCTGAAACTTTTCATTATTTTTGGCATTCCTGACTTGCAAAAAAAAGGTCTGGAAAATCTCAACACAGCTGCATTTATTAATGACCTCTAATAGTCTACCATTAACGCAGAATAGTAATGAAAAGCATAATAGTTGTGCTTGTTGAAAATATAACTAGAATATAATTTATGACATTTATGCACTGTAAGTCATCTTTCCGGCAGGGAAAATCAAGCATGAGGATGCACCCAAGTCAGTTGAGATTCATGCAATTGATTGAAGTGGGACACTTTCCATGGTTTAACCATTGCTTGTCAGCCGCAGGCTTCGGCACTCTGCTTCTCTAAATGGAACCTGCCAGGAGCAGAGAGCCCCTGACCATCCCATAATTATTCCCCCCCTGCAAAAACAAGCCCTATGTGCCCTGCCCTGCAGTGGTAACCTGTGCACTAGCTCTTATGTTTGCCGTATAGGTTTTTCTCCCCCAGGGTCGCCACAGCATTGATGGCTCCAAGTTTTGCCCTGAGTTTCAGTTTCCTTGTCTGAAGCTTGAAGATTCTAAAGCTAGAGTCTTCAGAGAGTCAGGAAGTAATGTCAGGTACTCTGAAGTGAAAGAATCAAAATTATGGGCAAATGCTAAATAAACATATAACTGTACCATAAAAGAGCCTTCTCTCTTAGGAAATGATAGTTGTGTACTAAGAGGCATAGATCCTAAGAAGCCTTAGATAGGTTGAGCATCCCCAAGTTGAAAATGTAATATCTGAAGTGCTCCAGAACCTGAAACTTCTGAGCTATAACATGATGCCACAAGTGGAAAATTCTACACCATGAAGGTTTGTTTCGCGCATGGAATTATTAAAAATATTGAGTACATTTCCTTCAGGCTATGTGTGCAAGGTATACATGAAAGACAAATTAACTTTATGTTTAAACTCAGGTCCTTTTCCCAGGATATCTCATTATGTATATGCAAATATTCCAAAATTCAAAAAAAATCTGAAATTCGAAATACTTCTGATCAAAACATTTTAAATAAAGAATACTCACACTGTACTTAGTTTGAGTTGCCACCCCGTACATGCACAGAAAGCTGAATGCCGTTTTGCCCAAGAAAGGTACTTTTTTATACTTTTAACTAAATCTATGCAAGTGAAGAGGAAAGAGAGTCTGCTGAATGTGGTCAGTGTTTCCATCCAGTTTGAATTGGTTGGGTTCTTATAACTTGTTCTTTCTTAGTGATAACATCTCAGGCAATAGAGGGCTTAGAGGGCAAATTTGCACAGAAAAGTGCCTCCACTCTGCTGTGCAAAGAAAACACAGGTTCTATGTCAATATCTTGCCTCTTATTAGAAGAGAACAAAGCAGATTCAGTATAGTAATTCACCTCTCTTGAAAAATTTAGATCTATAAATTATACTAAAAGTAATACTGTGTGAAAGTGCTTTTATGCTTACCATATAAATAAAAGAGATTATTCTTAATTATTCCAGTTTTCAAAGCAGTAAACGATGCTGCAGGTAGACATAGCCGGGCTATATTTAATCTACACATTGGCACTGTTCACCCTTCAGTTATTTTCCAAGTCACTGCTAATCTTTGGATTTCTTTTAAATACCATCATTCTATTTGTTTACTTTTTTTCCTATTGCTTTCTATGTGAACATAATACCACCCTGCTTATTTTCTTTAACTGACTTGAATGGCTTCATTTGCTATCAGAACAGTCACTGGGTCACTGCTGTGAATGCCACTCTTGTCATGAGGTCAAAACCTCTGCCACTTGAGAGAATCATGTCTTTTTTGTCCCTCTATAGGGGAGAACATGAAGGAAGCCTTCGGATGAAGACAGAGTTACTGGTGCAGATGGATGGGCTGGCACGCTCAGAAGATCTCGTGTTTGTCTTAGCAGCTTCTAACCTGCCATGGTAAGAAATCAAGAGAGTACATGTTGAATACATTTTCATGAGCCACTAAGTACAGGTGAAGATTTTATAGTGATTGCTTTAGGCAAAGCCTAGTTGTTTGGTTCCAGCCCTGGAAGATTAATTGGAAGGCTTACTGCTCATGGCCCCAGTCCTTGCTATCTGTACCAGGAAGGAATCTGCCTTAATAGAACACAGGCCTGGGCTACCGCTGGCAATATTTAAAATGGACATTTTGAGTTTAAAGCTAAATTATATATAGTCAGTCTCTGTACTCACTGGTACTGCAGCCACAGATTCAACCAACTGCAGATTGAAAATGTTGGGGGAAAATTATGTTTGGATTGAACATGTACAGATTTTTTTCTCTTGTCATCATTTCCTAGACAATATTATCTAACAGTGACTCACCTAGCATTTCCATAGCATTAGGTATTACAGATAATCTTGAGAGGATTTAAGGTATGTAGGTGAATATGCATGAGCTATGTGTGAATGCTGTGCCATTTTATATAAGGGGCTTGAGCATCCTCAAATTTTGGTATCCACAGGGCGTGGAGGTGTGGAACCAATCCCTCTTGGAATCAGAGGGATGATTATACTATGTTTAAATTAAGCAGGGTTTTGGCATGGTACTTTCAAAGGCTTCAAATCTCCAGGTCTCAAAGAATATTCCAGAAATAATGTTTGGATTTTATCAGCATGAAAATTTGTTAGAGTCTGTAAACAAGTCTGGAAGGCGCCTGGCATTTTGCCAGAGGGAGTGGTTTGTGAAGTAACGCCAGCAAACCATTAAGTGTAGAGATTCCTTATTGGTTGACTGCTGTATCTATTTTATGTTAATTAAGATAAGCTGTGTGGAATGTATGTATACCACTCCTGTCCTACAATAAACGGCTCCCACTCCTGCTGTATCAATCTACACAAGTTTTTCGTCACACCCCCCCCACCCCTGGTTATTTTGCTGCAGCCGGACTGCGGCAAAAATTAAACTTTTAGGAGGAAAATCTTTTTTTTTTCATGTTGTACAGTAAACAGAAAGCTAAATAATCTCTAATTGAAAATATAATCTACTCTCAGTGTCTTTTATTCAAACTGCATCTCAGAGTGGTTTAAGAACAATTCCAGAGGTGGAATTGGGAAATAAGAGATGTTGACTAGGGAAAAATAATATCTACTTGGAAAATATATTTTAAAAAATAATTATAGTCCCTTTATAGTTTTAAGAATATTTTCACATACTTTTTTTTTAAGAGCCACAGGTGAGGCAGGAGACAGATAAAGGAAATGTTGCTTTTCCCATTCTCAGAGGGGGGCCAAAGTCAAGAGAGGTCAATCTACTCAAAGTCAACAGCAATGTTGTACTGAGCTGGGATTTGTGACTCTGCCTCTACCTGCCCACCTGCCCTCACTCTCCATCTCTTTTTCCACATTCAAAGATAAAAAGAGAAAACTCTTTCATAGTATATGCTGATCATCTGGGATCCCAAACAAGAATTCACTGAGAAGAAATCATGGCATTCACATGCAATCTGTTGTTTAAAATGTATTCATAATTTAAAATTGGCTCCACCTCCCTATGCATTTATAAGACTTTATCGTGCTTAGGTGTTGAGCAATTATTTTCAAAATGTAAAAAAAAAAAAAAAAAAAAACCAGAACAAAAACAAACATTATTCTCTCAAGTGTTAGGAGCTTTGCTCTCATGACAAGAGTGGTACTCACAGCAGTGACCCAGTGGCTGTAAAACAGGTTCTGTTCTGATAGCAACCAAAGCCACTCATGTCAGTTAAAGAAAATAAGCAGTGTGGTATTATGTTCACATAGAAAGCAATAGAAAATTTTGAATGTTACATTTTGAAGATGTATCAATATTTACACACAATATTAAGGTGAAGTTAAACAGAGAACTGTCATTTAAATATCAATTTAAGTAAAAATTATTGTAAGCTATTATTTTGGACTAAACTCCTGCATGGATCTAAATAGACCAGACTAAAAATCAAAATAGAGTCACCCATGGTAATTCCAAGTCACCAAACTGGAACTGAGCTGTAATCTGCCCTTTTGAGAAATCAAGAGATAGAGATACTAACCCAAATTCCCAAACTAGACAGTTTTGATTGGTATAAGGATGAAATTAATTTGCTTTAATAATTAAAAATATGAAGTAAGGGCTGGGGTTGTGGCTCAGCAGTAGAGCGCTCCCCTAGCATGTTCGAGGCCGGGTTCGATCCTCAGCACCACATAAAACTAAATAAACAAAATAAAGGAATTGTATACAACTAAAAAATAAAAATTAAAAAAAAGAACAGAAACAATTTAAAAAATAATTGAAGTAATGTGATATTAACCATTTGCTTTCCTATTGTTCTGCTCCCCATCTCTGCTTTACAAAAAGAAACAAAAAAAAAATGTGATTTTGAAATGATCAATCCACTTTTCATTCTTTGTTTCTGCTTTCTTCAACCTTTATCTATAAAAATCAGCCCCTTCTGCTGAGCTCACTGGAACACTTACTATATTTTATGATATGTTACCTGATCCTGGAATCTCAAAGCCAATAAAGATCTTTAAACCTAATTTGTTATAATTGATAAATGAGATTTGATGAATGGAATCCTTTAGGGAAGGAATCTCCTTCATCCATTTGAGATGGGACTGAACATAACCACTTTACTAAGCCTCAGGGTGACCGTGAGAGTCCACTGGGATGGGCATGTTTCGAAAATGTCTTTTTGCAGTTGAGTTACTGAACTGGTACCAAACACATTTGCACTTTGTAATTGGTTATACTCTTCCATCTCTTTTAATCTAAAACAGACTTCACTCCCCATGTGCCATTTGCCATTGGCTTGTTGAATGCTAGGGAGATTGTCCTGCAGAATGTCCACACTTCCTAGATTTGGCTCATTGAATCCTCATGGTAGTAGTTAGCTGCTGTTCTTATCCCTGTAATTACTCTAGACTAAAAACTAGATTGATCAGATTCAGCATTAATAGGCTTTTTGGGGAAAATCTACTTCATAGGCAACACAGTGTACATTACATTGCGTCTGTCCAGAGGTTTGCAATGGCTGGTTCCTCCACTTTTGGCTTTCTGAGACTGGCCTGGGGGCACAGGTGTGTCCATCTGACTCCTCTGCTATACATTCCTACTGATGATTCAGTATCCACTGATGGTCTTTGTCAGAATCCATTATTTCACTCTGGATGTGATTCTGTTATCCCTTCTGCTGGATAGGTGGAATTATGGGATTATTCTCTACAACAAGAACTTCCCCCTCATCAGCAGGGTTACTAGATTACCTTGCAGTATAGTTCATACTAGAAAAGCAGCATTATTCCTCTTTGATTTTGAGAGCTTCAAGGTGATATCTTAGCCACCTCCCCAGTGACCAATGGATCAGCATAAGCCTCTCTTTCCCTCCCTCCCTCTGTTATCACTATAATTTCATGGCTTTCGTTGTATAATTCCATTAGTTTTGTGAGTTTTAAAAAAAACTTTATTGACATATAACTCACATATTGCACAATTCACCCATTTAAAGGGAACAGTCTAATGGTGTTAAGTATAACCATGTCATATGTTGTGAGAAATGCAAAATTAGGTGATTTTTGTTTTTGTATGAATGTCATTGAGTGTACTACACAAACCTAGGTCAATCATTCAGTGTGGCTCTGGATGCAATTGGGAGACCTGGCAAATGAGAGATGTATATGGCGGCTGCCTGTGAAATAGCACACTGTTTACAGCCAAGTTAAAAAAAAAAAAAAGTAGAAGGAATACACTCGAAAGTAATAATAACAAGTATAGAATAGAGCCATGCACAATGGTGCACAAGTTCAAAGCCGTGATTCTCCTGCCTCAGCAACTTGGCGAGGCCTTAAGCAACTCAGTGAGACCTTGCCTCTAAATAAAATACAAAAGGGCTGAGGTTGTGACTCAGTGGTTAAGTGCCCCTGGGTTCAATCCCCAGTACCAAAACAGTATAGAATGTTAAATATGTAAATCAGTAAATTTATTATCATTAGCAAGTATTGAGTATTGTTTGTAATATTACGTGCTCTATTTTATATGACTGGCAATGGAGTAGGCTTGTCTACACCAGCATCACCATAAGCACATGAGTATTGAATCACACGATAATATGATGACATCACGAGGCAGTGGGAATTTTCAGCTCAGTTACACTCTCCTGGGGCCACTGTCATACATGCATCCCACCATTGTCTGAAACATCATTATGTGGTGCTTGGCTATGGTGAATTTATAGGATTTTTAAAACCATTACCACAATCAATTTTAAACCAAGTTTTCTTTGCCCCCAAAAGGAACTCTACCCATTAGCCATTGCCCCATTCTTCCTCGACCCCCAGCACTAAGCAACCACCAATCTATTTTCTGTCTCTATAGATTTGCCTATTTTATACCTATGCATGGAATTATTGGGTCATGTGGTAACTATGTTTAATCATTTGAGGAACTGCAGACTGTTTCCAAAGTGGCTGCACCATTTCACATTCCCTGTTGCAATGGATGAGGATTCCAATTTCTCCCCATCCTCATGAATGCATGTTATTTTCTTTTTGAGTATAGTACAGTCATCCAAGTGGATGTGGTATCTTGTGCTTTTGATTGCATTATTTCCATGATGACTAATGACATTGAGCATCTTTTCATGTAGTTATTGGCCAACTGCACATCTTCTTTGGAGAAATGTTTTTTTCAAATTTTTTGTTTATGTAAAAATTTCTTTCTTTTTTTGAGTAAGTATACTCTGGATACAAGTCCTCTACTAGATATATGATTTGTAAGTATTTTCTCCCAGCCATGGCCATGAGTTCCTTCCCTCTGTCAACCTAAATAACAAACAAAGAAAAATTCAGCAAAGATTAGTAAGTTTATTTGGGAGCAGTAGCACTCTGCAGTAGGAAAACATAGTCAACTATGGCATGGGCCACCATCTCCAGCTGACAGTAACATTCTGATGAGGAAAATG